ATAAGAATGTGCAGTTTTATCGGTTATAAATTCAAAAATAATATTTTTAACATATTTAAAAATACTTTTTACAACAATTATATAATATTACACATTTTACGACACCTCAAAAGCTTCTTTTTTTTAAAGGTATTTCATAATATAAACGTTATCCATACTTAGACTTACACGGTTTTTATAAAGATTTATGTCAAACACTTATACGATAACGCCGTAAATCATAAGCATAATAACAAATTAAATATGTGTTAAAAAGAAATCGAAAATATTTAATTTTTTTACGTATGAATCTTTTACCGTGATATTTTCCTATATGTGTGCATGGTTTTTTAGATCAGATACACCCAAGTAGTCTGAACAACGTGCCGTGGAAATACGCGCCGTAAAAAAATGATATCCTAGTGGGCGATCGGCGGTAAAATAACAATAACAATAATAATGTAATAATAATATCTGTGCCGCGTTCTACACAGCTTATCAACTTTTCAACGTTCTATACAAACCAATCTCGCGTCGTACACCATAACTCGCTGCAATATTACATTATTCGCGTATTATGCGCGCGCGTATATGTGGCGTACGATTTTCATTTGTATCTCCTCGGCGACGACTAATGTGAAGTATACTGGCCGTTGTATGGGTATAAATAAAATGATAGTACACCTATTCGATATTATATTATATTCTACGCGAGTGTATCGAATGAAAACACACTGTCACTTAATAAATGCGTATTTCTACTTGGGAATGTATGTCAAGTGGAGATGTGTCGGTACAATTATTATATTATGCGTCCGGTACGAATGCAAAATTAATTCGTACACTCGAAACTATATATATATATATATATATATACACATTCATACGTATAATATTTATGTATTGTGTGTGTATATGTGTGTATGTGTGTATGTGTATGTGTTTGTGTGCGTGTAGGTAAAATATATAATATTATACAGACGAATAGATTTGATATTGTTACTTTCAGATTCGGATGGCTATTTTCGAACCATCACATTCCGAAAAAAAAAATAAACAATACAGTGTCCTGCTCACGTATTATGATTGTTGGGCGCAATATGTTTTTAGACCGTATGGGTATCGTTTGAAGATCATGAGTTTGCATGAACCGATAGTAGGTAATACAATTTTTGATATTGTGTTATCTTCACTTTTTTTTTTTTTTTTTTTGCTGATCTCGATTTCACGCCACTGCGCAGTCGCAATTAATATTTTTAGAAAAATAACAATAATAATAATTTTTCAGACGTTTCAGTATCAAAAATGGAGGACGAACTTCAACATCAGATTTTTTAACTGATTCATATCCAACTGTTACGGAAACAGGCTGTTGTTAATCTGTACTATATTTAATTGAGATATTATTATACGAACGCGAGTCGTGGAAGATACACCTAATTTGAGGCACCGAGGATGAACTGTACAAATGTGTTATTCCCATTACAATTAAAAATTCTCGCTCTACTATGTTCATTAATCGCAATTTGTATCATCTTTTATGAAACAAAAGACAAACATTCCTTTGAAATAAACCAAGTTGATTTAAAAAATGACTAAAATATTTTCTTGAGATAATTAGTTCGTTTTATTAATAAATATTATTGTTTTGAATAAATCAAATTTGAAAGTGATTATTTTTTCTACAATTGAGTATTTACAAATATTTAAGAGCAGCTATTGTATAGTTATCACTGTTTTTAGGTACCAATGTTTTTCACACATTTAAAATTTAAAAAAAATATAGATTTTCGTTTGATATATATCATGTGAAATTTTTATGCTCATATAGTCATAAGATCAATTATAATAAAAAAACATAATGATTGAAAAACTTTTTTGAATCGTGCGATATAATTGAAATAAATTAATTTACGACTAAATCTGGGTATCTTGTCATATACATTATTCTATTTGAAAAAAAATTCATCAAAACAAAAAGTAAAACCATTTTAAAAAGTCAAGTTGATTTGAAACACAGGACATTAAATGGTTCAATATAAATGTTAAAGTTAAGTGAGGAAAATTAGGATAATAAGTTATAATTTTGCTTTTACTATTACGTAGAGATATGTTTTCATTATTATGCAAAACTATACAAATCGGTCCCAAATTTTAAATTATACGTATGATTGAGTTTTATCTAATAATACTCCAATTGAGTCCGCTAAAACGAGTTCATATTTTATTTTTCTATTTCTTTACCTATCTCATTTAGGTAATTTTTAACTATAATAAGTAGAATAAAATGAGATGACTATTTCTATACTAATATAAATTTAAGGTAAAGTCTTTAATTAGTATTTTATGGCGATAGTTATCAATAATAACTAATTAGAAAAATATTCATTTGCAATGAAATGCATGTGTATTTTACTAGTTATTATTTTATTAATAATTATGTTAATTTTTAACTTTTGATACTGTAACTATACTTTTTTTGACAAACTATAAAATTACAGTCAAAATTCTTATGTATACAAAATAATAAGAAGAATAAATTTATTATTATTTTCACACTCGATAAGGTTATTTTTCGGATCAGTTAATGTGTAAATTTGAGTTTATAGATTCAACTTACTATAATATTTCCACTTATATTATGTCAAATGTAACTTATACATAAATAAAGAATAATTCTTATATAAATAAATGTAAAGCAATCCACAATTTTAAGTCTATGAATTTAGAAATATGAATATTACAAGAATATAAACTATGAAATAATATGTAATGTGGTAAATTCATTATAAAAGTTAGGTGTTTTACAAATCTGTAAAAAAATAAATAGATTCACATATTTGGTTGATAACGTTAAACAATAATAATTTATAAATATTTAGACGAAGTACACATCACTGATAATTATCATAATTTTCTTAAAATTAAATTAATCATTAAGAATGGATAATAATTAATATATTATACAGTCTCAATAGATATTATTTTTTTCAACAAGTAAAACATCAACAGCTTGATCGTTTATGTATTTTCTGTTGCATCACAAGATTCTGAAAGGAGTAATAAACTTTACCCATAGTATGAGTGAAAATGATTTTTATTAGTATTATAATAAGTATAATGAGAGAATATAGTTAAACTAATTATTTATATCGTTTTAATTCATTAACATATAAAAATTATCCAGTTTGTTTCATGAGAGTATTATGTATTTTTAATTTTTATATATTGATTAATTTTTTGATTTCTGCGCAATTTAAATAGTATAGGAAAATATGTTTGATACTCACTGCAATTTTAAATCGAATAATGGATATAATAAAGGCTTAAATTTTTCAATCTGGTATCCATGTAAGATTTATATATGATCAATTATTTTAAGCCTATTTAGTGTAACTTCTTTCTCACCGTATGTAATTAATTGTAAGTAGTTGTATACTGATAATTGATTTTAGTACTATATTTAAATAATATAAATTATTTATTTATTTAAAATTCGAAAACATTGTATTTACATTAAGAATATTACGTTATTTTATCAATTAAGCTTATGGTATGCAAAAATTGTTGTTTTCTATCAATTTTCTTATATAATTACTATATATATAAGTATAAGGTGTCAGTGCTATTATTTCAAAACACTGAAGACAAAAAATATATTACACACTTAAAATAAAGTTCCAAAAGAGTTCTCCACTAAAACTATTAGAGAAAAAACATTTAAACCTAGGCTAAAACCATGCTTACCAAATAATATTTTCCTAAAATACTACGATAACGACAAATCAAAGAGCTTTTAAACAAAATGCTTTCTTATACATAAATTATGATTATAACAACCACGGTTAGTATCTTTATGTAATATTTCAAGGCATATCGTAAACACATTAACTATATTAATATAATGAACAGAAAATATTATAATAAACTTATAATTAAAGATTATAATAAAATAATTATATAATAAATTATGCTGTTACTACATAATTCAAAAAATACTTTATGATATCCCAATTTTTAATCCAGACACGTGTAGAAAAATAAATACAATTTTCCTATGAATAATAATTTATTGATTACAAAAAATAAAAATAAAATGCAAATTTTATTAATTGGCATACATCTATCAATCACCTTATATGAAATATATAAGTATATAACTATAATTTTATATAATTATTATAATAATAATTAAAATATTACACTAACACCAGATTTTTATAATCTTCTTATAAACATGACGAAGATTTAAAAATTAAAACTATAAAATATCGCATATCAAAAAATATACCTATAAAAATACTACTATTAGTTATCACAACATCGCAGCGTAAATATATCCACACACGTCACCATCGAACGTTTACACATTTTACAGAACGATTTTTATATTTTATCATAGAAAATATAAAAGAATATTATTTAAAGTATAATGATTATAATAGATGGGCCGACGACAGTGGCGCCGAAAAAGGTTAGTATAAAAGCTAATATAGTATAGTGTTTCTGGTTTAAAAATATAACAACGAAGCACAAATGAATTCCTTAATTAAGCACATGTATAACGAACTCAAGCAAGACATTTTTATTCTTACAGAGTATGTAGAGAATAAGAAAGTGCGTATAAATCATTAAATTCTGAACAATAAAATTGATTAACTACTAACTAGATTGTATTTGTTGTAAGATAACTATTATTACTTGTAAGACAGTAATAATAATTTTAATATTTAATATTATTAAATAATAAATAAAAATACAAAATTAATGATATTTAAATTATGATAGTTTTTGAATTAAAAAGTTGAGTAGTCATTGTGAACAAGATCCAATAAGACATAAAATCTTAAATTTTCATATAGATTTTAATATTTTAAAATTCAAAATTAAAACAGTTTACGTTTAAGAGCAGCTTAATTCAAATGTGATACTCATTCAACTGAAGGGACAGTCCTATTTTTTGTTTTATTTTATTTATTTATCAAATTTATATTATGAAACAATGTTTTCATTTTTATTAAAATTATTATTATTTAAGTGGACGGTAAGTATATTAATTTTTGAAACATTTTTTGAGTCATCGATGTTCATAAATGCAACTACTATTGCCCTGACTATAACCGACCAAAGCAGTTCAAGAACGTTACGGGTACTGGGCTTGGGACTGAGGTGGACCATACGACGATGAATAGTCGTCAGACGTCTGGTGGATCCTGTAGACGGGCATAGCAGGTGATACAATGTCCAACGTCTTTCTTGACCCAGGATACCGTTCCACATCCACCGGATAGTTATGCATACCCGAAATATCTACCACCGCCTCGGCACACTGCCGGTGTGGAACCAGTGAGCTCTCTTCCATCAGCGTGGCAGTTAGTTGACTGCCACCGCCTTTTCCGCCGCCGCCGCCACCCTTCATGCAGCTGTAGATGGCTAGGGCCAACGCTGCGCCCGCCGTCATCAGGGCCTTGCTGGAAAGTGCTATAAGGGCGCTGGCTCCGACAGCGGCCATCGTGCCCGCCGCCCAGTACAATCCGTGATGGTCTTTCTTTTTTCTACCTTTCATTTTTAACAAAAAAATACAAAAACAAAAAGCAATATGAAATAACGGCTGGAAAACGATTTTTAGTATTTAGGATTAGACACTGAAAGTACCCACAAAATTTAAAAAATATGTGGTCTTGTTTGTGTGTTACTACCACAGATAATTGGTAAGTGAGCTAAAAGTCTTTATTAACGTATTGATACTTTAATAAAACAACAATGAAATCAATCATATTTTATGGATAATTTGTCTGTCGTAAATCAAAACGTTTAACCGCCAGTTTCTCCAGACTTTTTTACACTTGAAAATATGAGACAATCATCAAAAAATACCATTCATCTATCTAACGTGGTATGGTGGTAGGTGAATACGGAGATAATCGGATCACTGCCAACACATAACACATTGAAACTAAAAGAAAATATAATATCAAATTGTTATAATTAAATTGTCTTAAAGCCACATCTATTTCGAAGTTATGATGACCATTTGTCAGACACAGCGTAGTTTAAGCGCAAAACTGTGTATTTGAAATTTTATTTGATGCGTCGAATCTATGAATCGTATAAATTTGAAAAAAATATGGATAAACTATATAAATAACACGTATTATTTCGTACTTTTTAATTATCTTTAGAATTTTGATGAACATTCGAAAATCTGTGTATTATAATGTTTTTTAATAATAATTCGTTTTTAGTTCGATATACATAAAAGTGTAACGTAAAAAATAATATCTAAAAACGGTATGACACGTTGACGATGCGTGTCCTTGTAGCGTCACGCCGTCCGATTTCAATTTTAATTTTTTTTTCTTCACAACAGACGTACCTAATAAACCAGTTGACTGATAATATAATTGCCGTGCACCGCGTTTAATTTGTTTTTAAAATAATTACGTTCGTCATTGTTGACGAACCTATATACGAGTCAGTTGAAAAATTTAGACGACTTTCATCTTGCGCGTACAAAATAATATCTAGGAATTTACATCAATTATCGTGGACACAATCAATATGTAGATAATAGAGGACCGAAAATGTTAAACTAATATGTAATAATCGGATATAATTTTGAATATTATGTTCATATTGTGTTAAAAATCAAATGTGTCCAGATGTTAGTTTTATTATTATTTTTTTTTTTTTTACGTAAAACACGTATAATAATATTACTGAGATGACAGGCGACAGTAGACAATAATAACATGAAACTTGTAATAATTAGGATAATATAATACGTGTAATATTAAATAGGTATAGTATTATTATGCCATTTGACATGTTTAGTATTGTTATAGTGTTAGGGGTATTTTTTTTTTTTTTTTTGGAAAGAGGAAAAAGTAAAAATTAAGTTTTAAATTCAGTCTTTGCATATAGTTTTAAATTACTTATTATAAAATATATGTTTGTTTTTATAAGTATGTTTATAGAGGTTGTCATGTATGTTGTCTCAATCTTACTAGCTAGTAGATAATGTATAATGTATAAAAAATGTAAGTATATTTGAAATAATCCATTTGACACTGTTATTTTAATATCAGAGTGAATTAAACTTGTATCAATTACAAAGGTAACTATATTATCTAGTCTCTTTCTCCCCTTAGATTTTTTTGAAATTTTAATTTTGAAACATTTTTAAAATTTACAAAAAATTCTTCGAGAGTCCATAAGTAATATTCTTAATTATAGATTTTATTGATATAATTATTACTCTAATATTAAAATCACAAAATATAATAGATTATTTCAAACGTAAAATATTGTATGGTATGAGTTAGTTAGACGGAGACAACACATGAGGGTACGACGTCCATTTATGAGTTTATTATGGACAGATACTTTAACCACATAATATAATATACATTTCTTAGAATTTGACTTCTTAACTTATTATTAGTTGTTTATATGCATAATATGTATTAATAATAATTCATATACAATTATATTAATATTAATATAATCAGAAATAGTTCGGTTACATGAAAATTAACTTTAAACAATCAAGACTCTTTTAAAAAGCTTTAAAAAATTAAGATAAGGCATCGTACGTGACGTCGTGCTGTCTATACGTTAGTATTATATTTAAATTTTTAGTTTTTTCAACAGTTTAGGAAGTAAATAATGCAAAGACTTGATGGTAAATAATAACATTATGCGTTTGGTCATACTCATTCTGAGAAACGGCAATATCCGTTCGAACATGCTGTTACCAACCGATCGAGCCGTCGCGTTGATCGGATTTAGGAGTTTGACCCGCAGATCGATGCTCTCCACGTAATCGTTAAGTCGTTTGACGATCATGTGGTCTAGCTGACTGGAGTTGGCAGCATCCAGCGACTCGTTGGTCGGCAATAGACCAGCCGACGAACTACGCCTCTGAAATAATGTGAATCCTGGATAAATCTCGTAGCTTCGTTCGCCATCCAGACCGTCCAGCAACAAGAGTACATCCCTCTTGACGCAAGTTATCGTGTAATTGTTTGAGCATCGTGCTTGTGGAACTTCCTGTAACAACGTAATACATTCCATTCATTAAGTATAATTTAATTTCACATATCATATTATGTTATGTCATATTATGATACTTTATTAAAGTGTAGAGAGATGACAACAGTTTTTATTTCGATAATCGATATTCTTTGTATATTTTTTAATAAAAATTTTTTTATTTTTTTTATTTTGATGGGCTAGGCCTTGTTTTATATAGATATTTACAGTTTGTAATTGATTTAATTAACAACTGCAAGTGTATATTGTAATATATGTTTAAATTAACAATAGAAAATAGTCTGTAAATATATATACTGGTTGATTTAACATCACGTATTTGAATAATCACATATACTATAATTTAAAAAAAAAAATCAAGTTTAAAAATTTAAATTTATAATTTGAGTTCACATCAATAACGTTTGACATTAGTCGTCTAAGTGGGCTATTTGCTAATTAATAAAATATAAATATATTAATATAATATAAATCTAACCATCTTTCCAATACTCAAAAATATTTAAGATAAAATACTTAATTGTTTTTAACTTTATAAACATTATAATATATATCCTTTATTATTATATTATAATTTATAACTATAAAAATATTCTATCGTTTACCAAATAGAAAATGACAACCTTTGTAATTTACGTTTTTCTAAATTTAAAAAAATAATAATAATAACTGGAACCCTGCATTATACTATATCAATCAAAATTATGTTTAACACTTAATATTGTCGTATATATATATATGTGTGTGTGTGTGTATGTGTGTGTGTGTGTATACATATATTTATATATTTAGTAATAATACATAAATTTTAGTATATAATAAAAGTGACATTTTCGACTCACCCATACTTAATTCATCGGTAAAAGTGCTTAACTATCATACATCCTAATTAATATACTGTTATAATGTAATGTTTCACTAATACTTCTGTCAGCCGCTATTTTTTTTTTTTCGTTTCATCAAAATAAGTCTTTTAAATAAATTTTACATTATAATATTAATATACTCGTATTATGCTTAACGCCGTATATTTAAAATAGATTCGATGGATTCACGTGACTCGGTATTTTAATAAATATATTAATTATTAGTACTTGTATAAATATAAATTTTGTACAAAAATATTTGTTCGAATATAATAATAAAATAAGACATACATATGTATATGTATATATCATATATTAAGTGGTCAGATTTCACGCGGAGAAAATACGTTTTTCATTGATCACCGGCTGCGTTCGTTACTTGGCACCCGCAGCTATAAACATACCTAAGCACCGACTTACATATTGACCATATTGTACAAAACACTTATAGGTGTACACGAATTCGGATTCCTCTACTTACAGATATAACATAATAATACCATACTTAAATTGTATTGATGCGAAAGCATGTGATATACGTGTTAAGCTGATGAGAATATGTGTTGTGTGTATGTGTGTAGAAGGTTATGCCGCAGATGTAGAGCACGTCTGATCCGACACTAATAACCGTATCATCAATATGCAGGTCATCGTAATAATAACAATATTATATTCGCGTGTTATACAAGTATCAACATTAAAATGTCTCGTATATGAAAAGGGAAAACCATTTAATTTATTTATTTATCATTATTCATTTTTTTTTTTTTTTACAATAAAATTAAAATACGGTTTAACGCATGATTTGATCGTGAACCATAATATTATTTACATACACGATACGCGTTTATGAATGCACATCAAATTATTCACATAGGTACGTAAATTGAGTTGAATTATAGATTTCACTAGTATATATTAATGTATATATTTACGATTTGATTGTATAAATATGTAAATTGTACATAGATTTTTTTTTATTACTAAACTAAATTAAAAGGTTATGTCTCGTACAATAAAAATCATATATTTATGATATATAATAATAAGTATTATAATTTCCTAGTATGTCTTAGTTTTTTTTTATATGTTGTTATAATTTTACACATAATTAATCGCTTAACCGTATTTACAGAATTGGTATTTATTACTAACGAATCAAAACTAAACGATTCTTGGACAAAATATTAATACGACTATAAAGTAGATAGATTGATAATTAAAAAACTGTCAATCACTATATATTGTATCGTATACTCGTATAATATTTAATATATTATAAAATTAGATTTATTAGTTCGTGTTAACGATAATATGAGTATCTCCTAGAAAAAATAAGGTAAAAAAATGAATATTGTATGGTATCATAATAATATGATGTATAAAATGTTAATTTGATTTGATTACTTCTAGTTATCAATTTATTGTTAATTTTATCTTGTACAGCTCATTCCAACTCATCTTAGAACTAAATATAAAATACAAACAAACATTTAATTTATCAAGAATTGTGATAATTTTTATAAATTCGATAATAGATTGATTCCCTTTTTTGTTTTAGTTTTTGTTGAAATGAAAAAATTGTATACATTTAAAAAGTGTATTTTTTTAAACTTATATTCCACCGAAAAATTAATCTTTGATAATTTAAATATATATTAGAAACGCTAATCAATTTACACTTTTGAATATTTTTTCTTATTAATTTGTATTATAGTGATAATTAAAAAAAAAATTAGGTAAAAAATGTTCAATTATTTGATATTAGTATTGCTTCGAGTGTTCATAGTGTGACTGGTATGGTGAAAATGTATTACACTATAATAGGAATTCAGTTCTAAAATTTTATTTGTACCTTAATTCACATTAGTTCAATACGAATCAAGTTGATTTAAATGATAAGATGTAAACAGATTAGGTATATAATAACAAAATATTTGAATGCATATTTATTGTACACCTCTCGTAACGTCGTATTTATATCAAATTTAAATTGCACTTTATTGTAGTATATATAAATCTATTTAAATATCGAATTTAAGTGTGATAAATAATAATCAATTGTGATAAAAATTTAATTAATACCTCCATATTATAAAAACAACTAAATTCAACTAAATATAAAAAAAAAAAAAAAAAATAACAAGCAAATGTTGATTAATACTTTATTACAATATATTAAAATATTAAATAACCATACGTTTTACTAAAAGCACTACCTATGTGTAACTTTATTATCATTGCTAAATTCAAATTTAATAATAAATCCATTTAAATAATGTTTTGTGTGATTAATATATTAATACAAATTTATATTTATTATTTTCAGTTGTACCTATAATTATATGCTTTACGTAGGTAAATATTATTATAATTTGATTTGATTTTTTATAAATAAAATAAAATTTTAAGATATTTTAGTCTAATTTCCATACATTTATTGAATAGTTTACACAATGTTTACGATATATAAATATCAAATATGTATCGATTGGAAAAATAGATATTTTAAATCAAAAATAAAAATGTTTAAGGAAATTATAATTATTTATCATGTATTTTATTTGTGTAAGTATTTACTTTTAAAACTAAAAATTTAGCATATTTGATATATTACTTACAGCAATTACTTAAATGTACTTATTAGTTTATTTTATATTAGTAATTACTCATTATAGGTATACATATATATTTTTAAAATATCATTATTTTGCTTTTCATGTGATTACATTGAATACTTTATTTTATTTTCATATTATTTATAATATTACATTAGTCTTAAATATTAATTGAATAATTTTAATTTTAATACCACACGTTAGGTTAGGTTAGGTCAGCGGTTCCCAAACTTTTTCAGCCTCGGAGCCTCTTTTTAAGGGGAGGTTTCTCGTGGAGCCCCAAGAAATATTTAACGTTCATTTGCATTTGCCTGTGTTCTATGAAGCATAATTAATACGAACTGTATACATACGGACAATAATGAACGGTGCCCTCGGGAAACCATTGCGTAACCCCAAGGGCTTCGTGGAGCACAGTTTGGGAACCGCTGGGTTAGGTAAATAATACATTTTAATACTAATAATATTTACACTTGACAAATTTATACTAAAATTTTGGTTTTCACTTTTTAAATAAGCAAAAAAATAAATATGGGTAAGTGAGTATCGCTCAGTTGTACCTATATTCGGTATCAAAGTTAAGTGAATCACTGTAATAAAAGTGTTAATTATATTCAAGGACATACCAAACAATTCTGATCGGAGATAGTCCTGTGACGTATTTTTAAGCCTAAACCATCAAAACCAAGGTCCCGATGCATTTAGGTTATGTCTATGCTAAGAGGCCACAGGACCTTTATCATGACCCATTAAAAAAAATTGTTCATTTTTTTTTATTTATTTAAATTATATTTTATGTTAAAAATAAATTTATTTAATGTATTATGAAAAAAATTCTCAAGCATCAGACTCTTTTTGTTCTAGCTATCTTTAATATGTATATTTAAAGAAATCCTAACTCGTATAGTCTACGAGCCCTACGAGGGCCCTAGACTCTAGAGAAACAAAGTTTCATGCTGTACCACTAGATCAGGGAGTCAATAATATTACCAATTAAATATAGCGATATAAATATGTTACACACCTAATGTTATTTATTTTGCTGTTATTATTTTAGAAGGTTAATTTAATTTTTGGTAAAAACATGACATTTATTATATTATTTAATGTTATTTAAATTGTTGTGATTTTGATGAATTTAAATAATTATAAAAATAAATTGTGCCTATATATTTTAAATATTTGTACATATCTATAATAATAACTTATACAAGATGTTTCATTACATTTTCAAGCATTATTTTGCAGAAAATAATTTTTTATGACTTTATGAAAAATATAATAATAGAAAATTTAAATGTCAATAAATAACTTAAAAATAGGCGAAATATTTTAAAATTATACTGTGCATAGAAAATGATCAAATTAAGTAATAAACAATCGACAAACTTGTCAAGTATCTACACTAATTCATTTTTAAATAAATAAAAAAAAAAATTAATTTTATCCAAAACTGATTTTAAGTGAAAATTTCCTGTTTATCTTTATTTGTTTTTTGTATTCCTCAATTAATTTAAAAATACTGAAAATTTTTGCTTTAGACCCGTTTAAAAAACAAATTAAATACAATTTTATTCAAAATCATTTTTTAAGTTAAAAATCGAATAATTTTTTCAACCGCTTATCGTGTATACATATATTTATTTGTATGTACAATTTAAAAATATTTGTAAAATCAATACGTACATTCATTGCTACGCTTTATTTGTATATACAAATCGTTATAAAATCAATACGTACATTCATTGCTACGCTTAGAATCAAAAATGTATTTGATTTATTTATTTATTTAAAAAAAGAAAATTTAATATGTTAGATATTTAGGGAAAGTAAGTCATTGATTAGTTTTGATATGTATGTGTTGCATAGTTTATGCATTAATTCAATGACCAGTGAATTTTTTTTACTTATTTAATTAGTTTCACAATAAAATAGTGTATGTGTGTGAAAGTAGTAGAAATCATTTATTGTTAAAAATAAAAATAAAGATTCTGAGAATGGACTCGAATGTTTGAACCAACGATATCACTGTTGGTAATCCATTTCCATAAATTATAGACATTATTTTGATTGTGAACTAAACGAATTGTTTTTCATCGCAACGTACCATAACTAAATAACTAATATAGTTAATATGTTACGTGCACGTAACGATCGTAATGTCGCTTTCATCTGCTGGAAATTTTGCGTTAAACTATTCACAATGCCTACACACAAACATTCCAGAAGAGTTACTGAGAAAAAAAAGTGGTCATAAAAATAATTGGAAAATTCGGTTCAAATACCTAATATACGCAGATAAATAAAAAAAAAATCGAAAAAAAATCTTACCAACGGTGTACCTAAATCTCGACAGGCCGTTTTCCACCAGTCCAACCCATTGTATAAGTTGATTATTGTTTCTAACGTACGTGTTGCATTAAAAAATTACAGTAACATTAAAACAAATTATAATATACAATGCGTGTTAATTTGCCATATTATTGTTAATAGTATTAATTCGTTAAACCAATGTGTTCGCTCCAATTTCGAATGCCACAAAACAATGGAATAAATAAAAATACGAATAACAGGATGACGAAAAAATACGGAAAAAAATTCGTTCACTGGCCAACCATGCGGTACACTACGATAGGATGAATGGTTTCTCGCCATTGTCAATGGTTTTACGGCAATACGGGTTAGTTTATCCACGTTTTAAGTATTCCGAATTCTGATAATGAATCGCGGATCTAGGATAAATGGATGATAAGGAAGTCGATACAGTAACGCTGGAAAATAACAACAAACAAAAAAAAAAACTAATCATAATATGCATTGTTGTTTCTTATGCGTCATCGCGGATAATTCTCTGGTTAACTGGGTTATAATCTACCTACGTTAAATATAAATATATGTATGTATACGAGTCTAAGACTTACCAAAACCACTTGGTCATTAGAATACGCTAAAAAATGGAGTCTATACAATAGTGGTTCATATCTGTATAAATAAAAATTAACTAAATTAAGATATACGATATGTTGTTATTTTAATAATGATTTTTTTTTTTTTTTTTTAACAAAAACTGTACATTTATTTAATAACATTTTACGGATATACGAATCAAAAATTATATCCATATGATTGTATCTACATTCTACAGCAGGTATGATTGAAATAGTTAAACATTCTGTAGATGATAGCTGATTATAGTTAAATGATTCGAGATGTTGAACAGTTGGTATGTGGAAAATTTTAAGGAGGAACAACGAAAGAGAAATAATATTTGTAATTTTAAAAATTCGTTAAAAATAATAAAAAATTGAGATTGCCGTCCAACTATTGAAAGGATAGTATTAAGACACTTAACTTAAGAATAAAGAAATTGTCCATTGTCTAGTAATATGTCTAGTAAATAAATTTAAAATCCGTTATAATGATTTAGTAATATATCAAAACTAAACATTAAAGTTGGGTTAGTTGAAATTGATTAAGTTAATTAAGAATTAAGTCTTATGAAATTTATATAATTTAAATTATGTATAGTTCTTAAGAATGTTTATGTATTGTATACTATCAGCTAATAATCATTACAGTTGTAAACTTTTATACCTAATAATAAAAATAAATCATTATATTACTAAAAGAAGTTGTTAGTTCCTAATAACAAGTGGTAGTTGAAGGTGTAAAATATAGGTTTATCGTTTAACATTTATTTCATAAATTATTTTTTCTAAGTGTATACAAAAATTGTTGTGACGATTTAAAATGTATAAATTGTTTATAATAAGTAACATAACTGAAATCACTGAATAATAATCCGGTCTTCAATTTCACCGCTACTTAATAAACACGCAGTTTTAAATTATAAATTTATTTGCTTGCAGAAAAATATGCGGCGCTTAAGACCATGGATCTTTTAAACGTGTACCGAAAACTCTGTTCTAAATTTCGAGTAGATCAAACAAAATAAATCGATCAAAACCTACCATAAAAGTCGTAGCCAATAATCATTACACTTTTGTTCTGACCGGCGTACACCTAAAAAAAATTGAATTCGATAACCGGATAAAAATTCTAATCGGTAGAAAGTCTAAGACAAAAGTCACTCAAGAAATCTCGCCCCCTTAAAGCCATTCCCGGTCGGAACTCGTAAATACCGCGCTCTATGTTTGCGATACTATTCACCTACGTCTTCACGCGATCGGCACGATATATCTATTGATAATGCCAATTATTATCGTTATTACCAATTTTATATGTTATATTATACTGTACCTGTACCGGGGTAGATGTGACGTTATCGGCGGCCAGCAGGACCTCTGCTCCGGCGATCAGATACAAGGCGAGGCACAGCGGCGACCACCGAGGGTGATGCATGTCGTCGTCGCAGCGGCGAGTGGTACCTTTAACGTGTATAAATATACGTTGTACAATGACAAAAATATTATAATTCGTGTATATCTTAATCGATAATATTAATATGTCATTACAGTATTGCGTTGATGGCAGAGAGCTACGACGGCTGCAGTGTACGGAAGGTTAATGACTGACGGTGCCGGGATATTGTACCGCTAACGAGCGGCGCCGTCGCTACGGTCGTCGGGGTGCGTGATCCGCCTCCGCCACCGCCGATATGTATACCTGTATATAGGTACGTGGGTTTAATTATTGCTGTTGTCGCGTGAATCGGCGGAAAAACATAGTCGCAACAAGTGAACCGTTAAACACAATAGCGCCCGATGTAAACGTTTCTATATCCGAAATCGGTTGTTAACTTTTTTTTTAAATTTCTTTTTTTTTGTCTTTCCCTCCCCCGACGGTGAATTTCGTCTCGACGTCAGCGTCGATATACCGTTTTGTATTTCACTAGTCGATGCTGCAGGTAGGTATGCGTCGTTCAAAACATATATGATTACAATACAGAACTCGGTGCGTTTCGACAATATGTCATTTTGCCGATGATACGGCTGAAGACGACGACCACGACCACGATGATGCTGCTACGGGACGGTTTGGCCGACTGGCGGCCGCCGCCGAAGTTTGTAACGCGGACGGGTTCACGATTACGTACGATGGATGATTTCGGCGATCGTCCGGTTACGGTTTTGTAGCGTAAAACGATAATGACGATAATGATACACGGGCAGAGTCGGTAATTGCCATTATCGTATAGCGCTGGTATTGTTGTCGTCACATGTTGTTGTAATAATTTCACCCGTGGAATAATATGATATTATTATGCTCGTCGCACGTGTTGTTTGCACACGCGCGAATTCGCGAGCAATAATTGAAAACAGTGAAAACCCGCAGGACCGAAACCCCCGGCAAACAAGCGTTCGGCATCGTTTTCACGCGTGTGCACGCATGACGTTCGGGGTAATAGAGGTGTTTATACCTGTACGGAATCAAATCAGACCGGTGGCGGCGGGGGTCGGGTCCGGCGAGCGTTTCGAACGATAATATTATAATGTGAAATGTATGACACGCCAGCACACGTGTAAACCGACCGTGATCGCCGCGGTCCGGCGCGGATTTAATGAGTAAAAACAAAAGCGGACGAAAAAATCGAATTCGTTTTCCGACGCGCGAAAGATCGGGGAAAAAAACGGGGGGAAAAAAAAAACCCACGCGCGAGCCCATTGAAATCGCAGTCGCGCGCGCGGTCCGTGCGATAATTAATTTTCCGCAGAAATCTGCGAGACATCTACCCCGTTGACACACATTGTTGTGTCGGTTTGTGCCGAATCACCGCTCGTTTACTTTTACCTACGCGCGCAAAACGATTTCCAACGCGGTTTTTCATTAATTTTTTTTCCGTCGGTTTTACCATCCGTCCGTCGCTCGCGATTCGCACATACGCACGCACGCGCGTGCCGTCACACACACACACACACACACGCACACGCACACGCACACGCACACTTCTTCGCCGCCGCCGATAATCGTTTCGTTACACGGCTCTATAAAAACTACCCGCGCGCTGTCGGCCAGCTCCAGTTCGTGGCTTCATTCCGTACCGATAACACGGCCACACACACGGCCACGCACACACACACACACCGTCTCTCTCTGCAGCCATATCGCCGTAGTAGTCGTCTCCGCGTCGTCCACACGCACATCACGCATACCGCGGCCACGGGCACACCGCGCGCCCCGCTCGTAACCACAATCGTCCTGTCGACCGCGCGTCGTCGTCGTACAAGTGTGGTGCGTTTCTCGTTTCGACCACCGCCGTTGTCGTCGTCGTCGTCGTCGCCATCATCACTATGCAGACGTGCGGCCGGCGAAAACACGGCGGCGCGACCGTCACCATCGCGGCGGCCCTGTGCGCGACTTGTCTGCTGAACGCCGTCTCGGCGGTGCGCGGGCAGATGGAAACCGTCGCTGCGGCGCCGGACGGAGGCGGCGGTGGAGGACCGCAATTGCTGTCGTCGTTGCAACCGCCTACGACAACCACCACGACCACGACCACGACCACCAACGCTCAACACCAGGCCAAGTCCGACGACTCGGCCAACGCGGAACTCCTGAAGCAGGTAATTGGAAAAATCGTCATTTTCTTATCGCTCGCACCCTGCGCGCAGTCATTCGGCTGCTGTCGGGGGGCAAGTCAACCGCTTTTTCGCCTCACCCGTTGGCTACACGAGATTGCCGTACGACGGTGTCGTGTGTCATTGTAGGAACGTCTTCTCCCGTTTCCAAACCGTTGCTGGCGTCGTTCGAAGTAATATTTTAAACCGAATTTAACCTAACGCTACGGCCTGCTGTCGTCGAACAGTAAAATCATCTGAAGATTCGATTAATTTTGAAAATCGCCGATTTCTGTGCGTAAATACGTGTTCTCGGGTAATTTTTATCTCGCCCCGTCTTGATATTATCGACAATAGTATTGCCCATAGAACGTTGAGCGCACATTGTGAAGTGTGTATGTCAATCGTTATTAACAAGTGGTGTGATATTTCGCTTGAATTCATCGATTTTATCATTTAATATTTATAATAAATACCTAAGCTCTTTTCCTGAAATGTTATATCAGTTCCGCTGGAATGAGACTATGAACACACTTATTGAACGTAGATTTTCAATGTATTAATATTCTTGAAGAAAAATCTAGAACTCGAGAATAATTACTATATGAAATACCTATGTATTTTTAATTTCGTGAGTTTTTTTTGCCTCCATCTATCACGCCACTGTTTCTAATTTTTACGCACTGTTTTTTAAATCTTCCTCCGTGCACATTTTTTCATTATTTTAATCGAATTACCTGTCACGTAAGTTTATTAATAATATACATAATGCCTACCGAATGATCTAGTTAACGTAAGACATTTATTATTTTAAGCTATAAATGTTTTTTAATACTTTTTTTTTGAATTTAAGTCGTTAAAAACAATGTTTTTCTACAAATGTATATAATTAATTATACTAATTTTAACGATATCATTTAGAAATTGTTTACATGAAAATTAACTTTTTGACGTGTAATTTATAATTTATATTAATTAAAAGTTTAGAAGCTTAGCGATGTACTGAGAGAATATACAGGGGTATATAGCAAAACGTCAATCCACCACACAGCACTTGCTTTTAAATACTTATAAAAAAAAGATTTTGTCCGAAATAATTTGATTTTTATTGATCAAAACATTTCGAATTATATTTCTCATACGAATAAGAATTTAAAAATTTGTTTTCTGAAATAATGAGTGTCTTATGTAATTACGTTAAATAGATCATTCCGTATAAATTATGCTCTTCGATAAATGGCCGTATCAACGAAAATACACTAGGACTCTGAATAAAAATATACTTACAGTCGATAATAATAATTGTTATGGAAATAAATAATTTTATCCATAACACATAATTGTTATCGACACGTATGGTACACTCTATCGTGGTAGGTCCCATCCCACCTATCCCATAAACATTACAATAACGATTTCTGAGTAATAATTATCACACAGTACACTGCATTTTATTTTAATGTATACTTATTATATCACATTATGCACATCGATCCATTAACAGTGAACACTACGATCATACGTATCAAAAATTATTGACGATTATTACTTTTATCATCTATGCAATATAGATAATATGTTACAATATGCTAAAAACTTTACGCTTTTGCTATGTTGGATATTTATTTTTTGTATGTTTAATGCGTGTAAAACTCGATTTATCAATTACCGGTACGAGTAAAGGCTTCAGATTTCAAAAAAGAAAATTTTTGAAATACATAATACATAACACTCTAGTGTTCGCTGTTAAGACGATCGTTTGTTAATGCATTGTACTGAAATAATGAGATATCAAATCATATAATATTATTATTAAATTCGCACGGCGATCTCGTCGATGTACCAGTTGTTATTACATACCGTCGTTTGTGTGTGCGCACGCCCGCGTATATGTTGCGCAACAGGTGTTGATGAAGAAATGTCTACATCGGTACACGATGACGTGCCTGAAACTGGACTTGGTTCGGCTGATCGACCGACTGGGCACGGCCCGTGCCTATCAGCTAGTTCCCGGCGTGTCGCTTGTTCGGGCTTCGGACAGCAACCAGACGGCGGCCACTGGCGGTCACCACTACCGACAGAACCAGCACCACAAGCAACACCACTATCACGGCGGCATACCTCCGGAGGTAGTCAGGTCCCTAGTGCGGGGCAACGATTCGGCTGATGAGCTGGACGGGTATCTGATGGAAAAGGTCGATGCGTACCTGAACAGCCTGTCCATCAGCGTTAAGCTGGTTGACTCGGCGGTCGTGGAGAAGGTGCGCAATCTCAGTAGCCAGATGCTCGTCAACATACTACCCACCGGATTACTGGAGACTGGTAATAATAATAATCGTCACGCGTTACTTAACAACCGTTGATCATGTTATCGTGGTCGGGGTGAATTTTTCAGTGATTCCACATGGGTCTTAGATGAACGTGAAATTGGAATGAACCATTTCTGTATCAAATAAACTAGTTTTATTTATCCCGATTTTCTGACGTACACTTTTTGTAAAGCACTACTAATATTATTAAGAAAAACAAAATACTTAACACCTCAAAATGTATCATAATAATTCATGACTATTTATTAGTTACTACTGATCATCAATAGACTACTTTAATTTCCCGACATTGAATTATTTATCGACGTGATTTGCGATTTATAAGACGACTATTTTGTGGCCAATGAATATAAACAAATTAAGTGTATATTAAAATTTGGTGCTGTTCAAAACAATTATTCTTTTGCACACTATGTCCAACCGATAATACTCGAGAATAATAACATTTTCATTTCAAACGAATGATAGGCATTAAATTTCACGATATTTTTCTTACATTTCGTCTTCACTTACACGCTCTCTCGATTGTCGATCATACGGTTTTCACAAATCGATTATTAATATTTCGTTTTTGCGTATTTTAGACGCGATCATTTGCGTGTCGAAGAAATCATTACTGGTTTTTTTTTTTCGTTTTTATTTTAATAATATAATGGCATCAGCTTGTAACGTAGTTCTAAACTATTAAAAACAATGAACTTTTCTCGTATTATGCTCGTTTAAAAACATTTATTGTCAAGTAGATTTCATTGAGGTAAATTATTATATAATAGACGTAAAAGTGGTCACGAAAACATAATATTCTCATGTGTTTGTAAGTACAAAGTAGGTACACATAATCATAGCCCAATTCATGCATTTTTTTTTTTTTTTTTTATGTAAATTTAATCCAACCAAAACTTTTTTTTGTAATATTATAATGTTGTTGTGTTTAATATGCTTGGAAAATGTTTATATAAAAACTTATTAATACAACCCCTTTAGTACGCATTTTCTATGATTCCGAATCGGATTCAAAACAGATTTTATATTTGAAATTATTAGCCTTCCTGTATAATATTTTTTACTACGATCTGTTTTCATAAAATTTAACTCACCATAAGTGAGTACTAGATAGTTTATAATAATATTTTAAATAGACCACGAAAATGTAATGTCTTACGATGTTCCTACTGGTAATTTTACGTGTACACGTGTTCTAAACTTTCTAAACTTGTACTCAATTGATAAAGGTTTATGACGACAAGTACTCAGAAGAAGGCGCGTCAGTTTAATATTAATTCATAACCAGTAGATTCCATGTACCAGTACAGTCAAATTCGCTTATTACGATCTTTAAGGGACCAAGAGAATCTGATCATTGTAACCGAACTTCGTTAAATCCGGATTATAAAATGTAGCAATACATAAGATATAAAATCAACCAAATACATTGCTTGGAATCGTTTTACCCGGATTATCGTTGTAAATGGCATCGTTATAAGCGAATTCGACTGTATTTATTTGCTATACTATATGTACCTAGTCGCCAAATTCCACTTTTAGCGGTCATAGGCATTCGATATTATCGCGATTTTTGCAGGGTATCGATCGTTTTGCTAATCGTTGTTTTATATTTGCCCACACGCAGGACGAGGTAAGAAGGACGGTATGAAAGCGGCCATGTGGTCAGCAGGCACGCTGGCAGCAATCGCTTTCGCATCGTTGGCCGCCATGTCGGGCAAGGCGCTGATGACCGCCATGTTGGCACTCGTCCTGGCAGCCGTGTGCGCGCTCAAGGGCCACGGAGGCGGTGGAGGCGGCGGCGGCGGCGGTTACGGTAAGACGTCGCATTACGAGATCATCACCAAGCCGGCCATCTACGACCACGAACACCTGGTGCACGGAGCGTCGTACTCGTCGGCGCCGTACAGTTACGCTCGACACCTGACCATGGACGAGAACGGCGGGACGCATCACCCGATCGGCCGCGGCCCGCCGCAGGCTCAGCGGGTCAGCGTCGTGCACGCGGCGCCGGCCGTTTCGGCGGCCGTCGTCCAGCCCAACGACGCGTCCGGCACGGGTGAACAGGCCGGCGAGGAGGACGCGGACGACGAGGCCACCGTCGGCCGTTTGTCTTATCCGCTGGCGCCGGTCGCTTACATACCCACCAACAACGCCTGACGTCTCGACGACCAATCGGAGTTTTGACGTTATCGTTTGAGCGTCCACTTCACAGTCGACGTTAATACAACTGTTATTATTATTATTATTAATAGTATTTATTTATTTATTATTATTATTATTATTATTATTATTATTATTATTATGATTATCACAAATATTTATTTATTTATTTCTTATTAGGTGATATAACTATCATTATTAATATTTATTCAATTTTTTTTTTTTTTTTTAATTTAATTTCGTTTATATCATAATATGATTTTGTAATAAGCCGATGTTATTTTTTCGATATTAAATAACACAACCGCGTGATTGTAAATATTATAATATTTTAGAAGGCTATTATAATATATATAATTTATATATATATATATATTACTAAATTATTTATATTATAATTTTCAATACATGGTTTAATTCCCAATTATTTTTAGTTTTTTTTTTTATATAAATGTCGAGAAGAAAAATTATCGCTAGGTGAAAAATAAACTTGAAATTTTAACACCAGGTTCTAAAATTAGCTGTTCATTTGTCGACTAAAAAATAACGGACATTTAGAGTTAAAATATTTTTTTTAAGTTTTAAATTTAGAATTATACAAATTTGTCTACATTTTGAGAGTATATAAATTATTTTGTAGCTTGAAATTCATAAAAATGTCTCCTTTTAAATCTAACATTTGGAAATTCAATATAAAATTTCTCGTCGATTTTTCTACATGTAAAAATAAAAAGTTTAATAAAAAGTTAAATCAATTTTTTTTGTAACTGTTTTAAGTTAAAATTCTTATGATATTAAATATAATAATTATTCTTCAAACGATTTTCGTTTTTTATCATAATTTAAAAACGGATAGCCATTGATACTAATTGATTTAATTTTTCACTAAATTTTTCATGTTTTTACTAAGATAAAAAATTATTTACTAGACCAAAATCTTTGAAAAACTAATACATTATTCCACATATAAGTTTTTCATAGATATGAATATAAATATTAAAATCAATATCACATTTTTTACAAAATCATACAAACTATAATAGTATTTAGTACTAAAAAAGTTAGATACAATCTTCAATTTGTATGATTAAAGTTTAGAAATTGTATACGTTTCTCATCAATAGTTTATATTGAGACTAAAATATCTTAATATATTATACAATTATAATTATTTTTCATAGTTTTTGAATTTAAAATTACATAATATTTTAACCATTGATGACGATGTTAATTATTTTATTACAATTTTATAAAAACGTTATTTGTCGGAACTTAAAACTTAAACTATTCATATTGTTCTAAACGTAACGACATCTAAAAAATATGTGGATTAATTTTAAGATATTTACATGTATACTATGAACTTATTTACTCTATTCTACAATAAAATGCTATTAACTTTTGAGTTAATAATAATAATAATAAACAATTATGGTATAAATGTATATTATAATAATAAGTAAATAATAATGATACAATGAATGCAATGTTTTCTGCAAAAATTAAATCATCCTATAGTAACATTAATAAAAAAAAAAAATTATCCTATTCAAAATGTATCAACCAATACATGCTCCTGGCTTCCTGTGTCACCTGATCTTATACCATGCGACTTCATATTTTGGGAACATGTTAAAGATACAGTATATTTACTATTATTATCATACCTGAAATGAGCTAAAAAATTAAAACAGTAAATTTCTAACAGATGAGTATGGAATGAATTAAAATTCCAATTATTTGTTATTTGTGTGATCTAAGCCCAAAGGAAACCACGAAGAACATTTTTTTGGAACCGTTACATAAATCAGAAATTTTACTCTTTTATTTAATGTATCATATGTTACACTAAACATAAGATCTAAAAATATATGATTATTTGGAATCAGATGAGTCATTTAGAATAACCCTTACATGGGTCATGGACTGACAGACCGTTCCTCCTCAGAATTGTTTTTCTTATATAGTGATATATAATTCTATTAAAATTCAGCACACCTATTTCAGTAACAACAGTCGATATCTAACCTTATTTTATATTTATTTTTACAGTATATAACAACAATATTTGCTAACACAATATGCGTACAATCATTATATCACTGATTGCTATATTATTTTTATATATTTCGTTGGGAAAATAAATTTAAGTTTTATAAATTTGTATTCGATTGTCTCAAGTAGTTTGATATGACAATCGGTGAATATCTTCGGTCGTGTAAAAGATAGATGATATGCAAAATGAATTGTTATGGAATATTAATCACTTCTTTTTGGAGTAAATGGAACACATCATTCGCGACGTAGAAAAAACACCAAATTTTAGGTGGCGAGGATAACACCTATCAATATATAAAATTATATTGTAATCTTTCTGGTATATTTTACTGAATATTGTCAACAAAATTCATAATACAGCCTCAATAAGCACTCATCGAAATGTTTAAATATGATTTCTCGATTTTCAATACGATCTTTACTCCGTTTAATTGAAATAATTTTAATTAAAATAAATATTAGTTAAATATTATATTATTGTTATTTGAAATAAAATAATTTTAAAAGATAAACCAATTAATTTATTATGGGTAGTCAGAATTTTAAAGAATGAATGGATCTGTATACAAAATAAATCTAAATACTGTAGTGAAAGATTCGTTTCGAATTTATTTATTATATTAAGGTTTTTTAAATTAAATAATATACTAGTATTCAATTAATTGCCAAATTATCAAGCCCTAAATTAAGTATATTATAATATATAGTTAGTGAACGTATCCGAAATAACTCTTGACTTAATTTGAAGCAGCTCAAAAGTAATATTAGGCAGTATTTTAAATTAGATTGTTTTTTGCTAATGTTGAAAAAAACTTGCCTGATCGAATTGAGATTTAAATCATTAGGATTTCAATCTTGGACTAAGAAATTTCCGATAATAATATTATGGAACAGCTTGGCTACTTTTAAAACAAATTTGCTAACATTTTTCAACTATGTTTACTTAGTTAATACAAATTTTCAATATTTATAATGGATAGATAGTAGATACCTAATTAATCATCATGTAAATACATCAAAATAAATCAAGTAATGTTTTTTTTTAAATAATTATGCTATAAATTTTGTAAATTAGGTACCAATAATATATATACTATCATATCTACTGGCTAGTGACACTATATTATAGATGTTATTTTGATATCAGTACTTCTATTCATATAAAAGTGTATACTTATTTTGCTTATTTTACCAAAGTATATTAATAACATCCTGACAATTGTGATGTGAACAACATAAATTATGTAACATAATATCATTGATTATAATAATTATACTTAAATCAGTGGGATTTATGATAGTAAAATATATGTTTAGGTAATTATAATTCAAAAATAAAAAAATATATATATATATATTTACAGTAAAATACAAAATCATGTTAAATTATACAAAATATCGCACACAGTTTTTACGCTTCACGAAAATATATAAAAAAAATAATAATACGAATTAAGGTCTTAAGTTTATAATATATCGTTGTCACAACAATCAGTGATTCCTGTGGCCATGATTACGAGGAACTACGAATACTGTATTAAAATAACCCACTGCTTTTTACGCATCTGAACAGAACGAACCATCACGACGTTTATCGCCAACAAACAGCCGAAGATTTCAGTCGAATGATAAAATTGTTCCAAAATATGAGATTTTCCGACAGGTCGAAATGGTTCATTGGAAATGTATTAAATCATGATGTTAAGATGTTATACAATATAATATTTTTATAATATATTGTAATGGACGATAATATTTGTAGATATATTCATGCTAAACATAGGCACAGAAAGACAAGTCGGCGGACACAAAAGGGATACGCAATAGGGACCACAGGGTTTATGAAGATTGAACAATCTATGTACATCGTTATCTTACGATAACAGGGACGGTAAAGTCTCTATTGTAGCCATGGATATAAATTATTTTATGGTTTTATCGCCGCTGTTGCCTGTTGTAACCGTTGTACGCCATGTCGTTGGCTTCGTCCTTGAACGCGACCGAACCGGTAGACGGTACCTTGACATCCTGCTGGTTTCGAGCTGGCCGGCTATTGTATGGCTGCGCGTCAGCTGACTCATATAGATACTGTTGAGGATCTACCGGATGTTCACGGAAGTACTGTGGTTGTTCGCGATGGTATTGTGATTCTTGGTGTTCACGGAATGGCGAGTACACGGGTCCAGTCTGAGGCAGAGGTCCACCTCCGTTGGACGGCCTGTGATAGTAGCTGCTGTGTCCAAACGTACCATAGTTATGCTGGAGATCGGGCTTGCACAGCTTAAAGAATCCAATGAGGCCGGGCACGACCAATGCCAGGAAGCCGAGCACCTTCTTGAATGACGCCAAACCCAGGATGAGCGGCAGGAAAAGGAGAAGCTTTAACTTGAACAGCTTGAGCACAATTAGCAACGGGATCAGCAATTTCTTAACCTTTTTCTTGGCTGAAACGCGAAAACGATTATGGTTAAAATAAAATAATATAAAAATTTATGAAATTTATAAAGTTTTATCATATTGCCCGAAAAATTGTCACCGTTTTATATTATTTGTTTATTTTATCGCATAAGTAATTTACTTAAAAAAAAAAAAGTTTTGACAAGTATGTGTTCAATATTATTTATAATAAGCGTTGAATCTAAATATTTTTATTAAATACTAAGATAATGTTGACTTAATGAAGAGATATCGATGAAATGTAATCCATAACAATAGCGTTACTGAATAGCCTATTCAAAACGCCGTGTTATCATTAAAATATCGTTGAAGCTTAAAACATTGAAAAAATCTTTATCGTTTTTAAGTAAAAAAAAAAAAAAACTTTTTATATGAATTTTAATTTTTCTTATGCAATACTATTAAGAAAAATAATTGAAAAATATTCAAGAACATTTATGAGATAAAAATATAGATTCCGTGTAATTATATAATAATATAGTATAGGTACCTATAAACGATATTATTATACACAAATGATTATTTTGTTACGTGTGAAACATGTTTTATATCATATCGTTTATTATCATTATTTCAATATAAAAACGTCTTATTCTCGAGGTGGGCGTTTAAGTCAAAAATTGCTCGTAATTCATTTTATGGTATATTACGTTTCAACAGGTAATAATAATAATATTATACGATCGGATGTAACTTGAACTGCCATCACGTAACTGGTGACATTTGAATAACACCAGTAGACAATTCATTCGTACTGTATGGTAGAAAAAATTGGTAATTTAATAATCACTGTAATGCTTAGGCCTACTAATAAGCATGCCGAACGCCGTAATGTCGCTTTCGGTTTCAGGAAAACTATGGTAAAATAAATGAATCGGCCTGGGCGAGTTTCTCGCCGATTATTAGCCTCCATTCACTGCAAAGTCGAACCTTTTGTGCGGGTTTTCGTTTTGTCCATCGTAATAATATCGTGAGCGTCATATCTGTTCTTTGTATCATATTATGCAGTTGCTGGTTGTTACGCGATCGCGCGCGACACGAAAACGTCGAGGAAGTGCTCCGTGTTGTTTTTGTTGTATCATTACGATAACACTTGCGCGCGTTGAAAACCAACCATTAATCGTGACGACGATCAACACAATATTTTATAACTGCGAGAGGCGGAAGTCCATACGCGCTTACTGTACTATTGAGGTCTTACCGCCTGCGACCCACAATCGTATAATACATAATAATATAGCATAATACGATTTGTGAATACTCGCTTGCCCATTTGTCGTTTGGGGTCTGGTGTTATGGTGTTATAGCGCAAGTGTGCAGTTTGCCGAGTGCAAAAATATAGAAAGTGTACCGCGGCCGATGTATGAATACAAACTAAATTGACGATGCTAATTTCCTATTACACCGACAGTCGTGTCCAAGTTATTTTTATCGTATTAACATAATACGATATAATAATAATAATAATAATAATAATATTTACATAATATTTTATTATAACTTACATTATGACATTACTACACAAAAAAACGCAAGAGGCGCCTACATACCAACGAACAACGGAACATAAAATATAACGTCCGATTTCGGTGGATTATTTTTCATCGAGTTCAGTAGATTAGTTCATAATATTATTATTGTAACGTTCGAAAGCTACTAACCTCTTAAATCTACACGTAGATATATGCTCTGCATAGGCGTACATGAAAGATTTATTTTTTTCGTTTTATTATTATAACCAGTTCCGTGGAGAACAAATAAAAATAATGTGAAATCGTAAACGATACGCGGATTGGCGCGTGAACGCTTTGAAAATATATAATAATTATTATAATATATTATATATTTAATATAGAAGAACGTTTTTTATTGATAATTGAATAAATATCTCAAGAGATATTTAATATAAATAGTTATGTTTCTTTTTAAAAGTAACAAATACTGATAGATTTTTAAACGTTTACAAAAGTAATAATAATTAAAAATGTATGATATTTTTCCAAGATACATAAGTCAAATATTTCACGATGTAAAAATGTCTTTGTATATATAGTGAATACGCTTTGGTTATACTCTTATTATAGGTAGTAGTATCACGTACGGTAATGACGCAGTGCGATAGAAAAATTAAGACAAAATTGTTTGTAGACAACTATACAAGATGATTGTTCGGGGAGAAAGTGCATTGTACACATATAACTTCCAAGCATAATACGTGCGCAATTATGCGTTGTTGATTGTGTACACGTGCAGGGCAGTCTTCGTTGACGATTATCGACCGAACGGTAAATTACGGGAAACCGATCGCGTCTATGAAAAATCAAGTATAAATACCTTACAATATGGCATACTAAAATAAATATAATATTGATATAATAACTGCAATTTAAGAAATTGGAAATTGGAAAATTAATGGTATTTATATTTTCACAAGACACTGATAGCTAAATAATTTTTTCGGTTTTTTCGTTTATATATAACGTATATAATGGGTGTGTGTAATTTGTATACATTAAGTTTAGATATAGGTATGTTACTAGTACATGAAATTATTAAAATTGAAGAAAAAAATCAGAAAACATTTATGTAATATTATATGACAAAATTTATAGTTAAGTATTTATGTCCATAGTCGAAAATTAATAATAAAATAATACTAAACAATAGTCATTTGTGTATAAAAATTATAACACTATCGTTACAACGACAGTCATTAAAATTGTAATCGAATCACTAAACTGGGTGCAATATAATGATTCAGTGTTGAGTATTCGAGTAAGTCAATTGAAATGGTTTTCTGGTTTGTGCGATAAGTACGAATTTGCCGCTAGGTAAACCGTTCCAAACATTAGTGCTATGATATTGTTGTACCCGAATTTTTGAAAAGTAAACATCACAGTTGGGTTATTATATTTTTAATATAAAATTACGTTTGGAAGGAAACATCGATATACAGCGTTACAATACTTTTATGATGGTTACGTGACTGTATATTATGATTTATTGAAATTATACATTTTTACCGTTTAGTAGTACATGCGAATGCAAAACGTGCAGGCCAAGCATTGAAATATTTGTACGGTTTTGTATCATTATATTAAATTATTATTTTGTTATAATGAATCAACAACGTCTTTAAAGCGCTCGTGTTCCGGTCCAGAAAATTAGGTAAAATATAATATTATTTTTAACGTTTATCGCGCCACCGCTCGAATTCATGTCAAATTTATTCCGACACAGCTATGTCTCAATTCCCGGTTTTGAACTACATGAATTCTTGATCATTGCAGAGTATAAGAGATGAGCAGTTTTTAATGTACAAAAATCAAAAAAACCGTTGAATTTTCATTTCCTTCACACGATCGGCAACACGTAAGTAAATCTATATTAAAACCGTGCTTTAAAGTTTAAATTTTATGCCCCTTTAAAAATACATCGTTTGAAAAAAATACATTGAAATTCAATAACTCACTAATGACGCTGGCCTTTTTGTCTTCAAGAGTGTCCAGCTCGGAGGATATCTCGTCGATGAACCTGGGCGAATACCGTCCACCCTCAGTCAGCTCGTCGGGAACGTGCACCTCGACGGCGGCCGACCGCAGGAATCGTTCGGCTTTGCGCGTGGCGAATTTCACCAGCTTATCCCACTCAGTATCCTCCGGCCGCTGATCCGTCGAGAACTCGAACGCCCTGGACGCATGCCGGCCACCGTCGTCGTCTTCGTCACGTAGGCGCACCACCCGCACGTTCTCATTGAGCCGGTACGAGTCCCGGACAAAGAAGTCACCCAGACCGGACAGGGCACGGGCCTTGAAACACTCCGCCATGTCGCCTTGCAAACATGCGCCGTTGGCCGACGACAAGTACGGATCGGCGCCCTCGTCCGAGAAACTTCCCAACCAGTTGAATAGGTTCTTACCGCTCCTGTTTCCGGAGCCTGCGCCGCCCGACGTCGTCCCGTTATCCGCGATGCCGCTGCCGCCAACCTCGCCGTCCGGAAACGACATGGACTGCTGACCCGTGGCCGACGCTACAAGGAACATCAGTACAGCCAGTGAACGCATCGTTCGGCGGTTGCTCGTCACCATGATCGCAGCCCTCACGCAGTTGTGGCTATTACGCATCTGCAAATACGAAAAAAAAATTGTCATATGTAAAGCTGTGAAATTTAAAACAGTAAAGTTTTCGTTTGAACTTGTACACTCGAGAGTGATATACGCCGTTAGTTTCAAAACGCACGAAGACGTGTAAAATTATCTCGACGAAATAAATTCAAGGTGGTGATTATGGCTTAAAATAAATAAGGTATCAATAAATTATGTTTGCGTAAAGTATTAAAAATTATAATACAAATAAATGTTTATTACTCTCATATAGTCGTATATACAATAGTATACCTACGTTAACAAAATAGTAATAGTTTATATTTGCAATGTTAATGTCTCGAATCGAAGTTGTTTCTCGTTTATTTTTAATTAAGAATGAAATTCAATGATATAAAAATATAAATCAACAGCCCTGTTTGTTATAGTCATATACTTTTGTTATAATCAGTGATAAGACTTGTCTGATAGATGCATGCTAACGAATCGTAGTTGATCGAAACCGTATTTCCATCTATCATAATATAATCATGTCATACTTGTCATAGTATAAATTCGATTTTTTTCAAATTGTTGTCGCCTGCCTCCAATGCACTGTAGGGTTTGATAAGAATGAATTTTTAAAACGACATTTGTTGAGAGATTTGAATGCAAAGTATTCAACGTGGCATGAACTTCTGCTGAGTCCAATATCAACTTCAACACAATGTATAGAGCGCGCTGAGTATAAACGCAATTATTATCCCAGCATGTCACTTGTAACGTAACAAAACTATGTCAAGTACGGTTATGTTAAGGTAGTGAAGTTTATAATAATTGTTAAACATAGTCTCACTTGTTATCAGCTTAATTTAAAAAAACAATAATAATAATAATAATAGTTAGTTAGTTAAGATAGATTGATTTGTGATATTTTTAGCAGAAGAGGTTTTATAACAAATTGTAAAAATAATATCGAAAAAATAGTTATGACGATAAAAATAGTTTAACGTCTAATATAATAATATGTATTAATAATTCTATATTTGAAAAAAAAATAAACATCGACATACCTTTAAAAGCGTCTAGCTGTTTCAAAAACGATGCACACTATCTATTAAAATGTTTCAAAATAAACCGGTGTTAAAAATTGTTTTATGACAATCGTTGGTCATGGATGTAGTTTTTACGTATGATTGGTATGTACATATTTTTCGTCTGTAATGTTTGATATTATTAAGTCGATCGAGTTTCGACGCATACAAACGTCAGAAGTTGGTTTGTCAGCGCACACGTCACGGTACATTAGGTATGTACCTATATATAATATTACATGCAAATATCGTATTATACATTCTAAATAATTACTCCCATACCTGTTAGTAACGCGTCTATTGATGTCGATCGTCGCGCAGAATTCTCACCCGGTTGTGTTTTATGTATCGTATACCGTTATACCACGGTGGATGAATAATGATTATTATTCCGAAATATGGTTACGACGTAAACACGTCGAACAGGATTGCCGAAGTTGAACCTCGTCCGTTGACCGTTCGGATGTCACTAACCGTCTGCCGGTCGGTAGTCCGCCGTCTGCGATATATATACAGAGCGCGCACATAACACACCGACTCCTCCTCCGCCTCGACGACTACACCATGTGAGTGTGTCATGAAATGGCGTTAGGTAATCGCACTCAAGTCTCAAAAATCCTAAACGAACAAAAACTTTACATCCATGTTATTATTATTACTATACACTGTACAAATAAAAAGACTACGTGGAAAGTGTACTAAACTACTCTGTTGTACAAGACAATACACGTAAAATAATAATCTCAAATTTAGTGGGTTATTACTTTTTAGGTGGTGCTTACGACTTCAAAATACAATACGCACATAACCTTTGAGCATTATCTAATTATTTTAATGTTCTACATTAGAAATATGGTATAAAATAATATTTTAATCGTCTAGTAATATACGTGTTTTAAAAACTTAAATGAAAACATGAAACAATTAAATAAACCGTTACGAATACAATACAAATCGGATTCGATCATAATATTAGGCTTACCTATAGTTGAGATGACAACCGACTTAGTGATTTGATACACAATTATTTTAAACGTATTTTTTAATAGTGGACAAAAACGTATTTACGCTAAGAAATGAGATAAATAATATTAATAAATGACTGATGAAAAAGAACTGTTAAACATTTTTCACAATTTTAACTTATCACACAATGCGTTTTTCAAACCTAAACCTACGAAATAATTAAATTGAAAAAAATATTAAAAATTGAAAAATTTATTGAAAATAAATATTTTCTAATCCCAGAATAATCGGATCTGGTTGAAAAAAGTGCCAGAATTAGATAAAAAGAAAATTAGTTAGTGTATAATATTATCGTATAAAAATGTCGAAATCATACAGTGAATATTTTATTCCAGGTATTTTATTTTAAACTTTATCGTTAAAAAGCAAAAAATAAACAGTCATACAATCTTAATAAATACATTTATTATAAGAAAATATTATCTTTAATTTTTTCTAATGATTATTACTGTTTTATAGTTAGTTAGAAACAATTTATAAAAAAATATGTGCCCATTATCACATTATAATATAAGTGTTTTGTTTATACCATTTCATGACTTAACTTAAAATATTCAAATTATGAAATATTAATATTGGCACAATTGATAATAGGTTTTTTTATATATTTGGTGCTTATGTCACAAATTAAGTATATTTTTTTTTATTAGCACTTATGTCACAGTTATTTTGGCATGAATGATATATTTTTTCTATATCTTCGGCACTTATGCCTTATTATATCATATAAACAAAATTAATAAGCTCTAATTTTTCAAGTTATTTTTTTCTAAGAATATTCTGTGATCAATAAGTCACTGCCGAATTTTTTTGTCAACCTACATCATATTTTAATCAACCAAATATATTACGTAAAAATTGTAAAAATTCGCTTTCGGCCACATATAATTTATAACATTATAGCCGTTTAGTTATACCATAATCTTTGTTTGACTTCGGAACGATATCGGCCGTACACTCGTGCCGAGATGTTTATTTCTACGTCAATGCCATCATAATAGCCGATAGTCGCCCACTCCGTCGTGAAAGTCTAGTACAATATTATCATCATAGCAATAATAATAACCCTACGGTTCGGATTACCGGGAACTACAGAGCGAGTCTTCCCCTTGGATTACATAATACAAACGTTGTGATATTACATATTATTGTTATTGTATGGACGCCTACCACATAATAAATACATTGAACTCACTGAGTCACTGTTTTTTCATATATTCCAGTGCGGCTATGCGCGCGCCCAATTACAAAATATTTTACTATCGTTATCCGACCTCGCGGGTAGTATACACTTCTGGAAAGGTAAAAAAACCGTAGTATTTCGTAACTTACAAATATTTATTACCATACACCATGTGCCTATAATATATTATGGTCTGTTGGTGACGCATCGGACTTTCTTCAATGGGCCGGGCTGACCGGCATCCGGGTCGAGCGACAAATAATATATAAGTAATAAATTAATTTTATGTATCAGCAATTACAATACGGCACACGTTTTGCCGGAAAACCACAAACAATCGATGTGAAAAGTTGAATACGACTTATTATTATGATTATCAGCTATTGTAGTCAAACTGTCACAATCGTTGCTTACGATGTTCCTCGTGAGAGTTTTTCGAACAAAAATTTATACGGGAGAAGTTTATTTTTGATATTCACATATTTATAAGTGCGAGAAAAAACATAGCAATCGAGAAGGGTTGTTTAAGGTGAGACTTTAAGAATTAATCACGACTACCCAAATTAATTGACGATCTGAATGTAGATCTAAATAACGAATATTTTGAGCGAATTGAAGATATAGTTTAAATCAGTTTGACAAAAGTTTTTAGTGGTTTTTTTACGAGATTTAATGGCGTTTAGGAATTAGAATAGGGATTTAGGAGTATCTTGTCGTTTGCAAAATCACCAATTTTTTTATAAAAAGAAGTGGATTAGTCAAAAGTAAATAAATTTAATATTAGTGGTTCTACGACTGATCTTTGGAGTACACCAGCACAAATCGGTAAGGTTGATAGAAATTATCCCGAATGTATAGTAAAACATCTGTTTTATAAATAAGATTAATATAATAAATAATAGCAAGGGAAATCTTAAAATACTAATGGATAAATTTCGATTATTGAATAAATAGTTTTTAATTTTTATTTTATGTATAAGCATTTATACAGCGTTCGTTAATATTCTATTAAAACCTTTAGAAAGATACTATGCTTATAGTATGGTTTTAAATGCAAAAGTTGTCATTAAGAAATTTTAAAAACCTCTGATAAAAAAAAAAAAATAATAATTTGTGTAACGTAATAAATACTAGATAATTAGTGCAGTAGTGCAGCCTTTAATTGGAATACATAATATAAAAGAGACATAGACACTAAAAGTTAGAAAATACAAATATAAATGTACATCCCCTAAAGTTATAATAATTTCAAATTAACATTTTATTTTATATTTTAGTCCTCTGAAGCTTTCTAAGTATAAAATTAAAAACTAAAAACTTTATAATATCATCCAAAGATAACAAATTATTCTCTTAAAGTCGTAGTATGAATATTCAATATAGAAATTAATTTACATTTTTTAGTCCACTGAATTTTCATACCCACTTAATTATTTTGTAATGACAAAACACCGGAAGATTAGAATCAAAAACAACTTCACAACAATGAACGATAAACAAAAACGAACCAGCATGGTATTCAATATCGATGTCGCTGTCATTAATGATTTTACATGAACGATAAAGTATATTAAGTGTGGTTCTAATTTTATTTGTTTTTAATATTTATGAATTTCACATACAAACTTGAAATTGTCTAAATGTGTTTATGCTCAGTGTACTGACGAATCGGTATTGAATGAATTCGATATCAAAATATAATTTAAAGCTCAGATAGAAGAGTTGAACTACCAGAAACTATCATCAATGTAAAGATTCTATTAAAAAAATATGTAAACAAAGTTGTTTAAAATTTGTCCACGTGCATATTCTGCTAAAATATTAAATAAATTCATAATTAACAAACAATCAATTCGATTATGAACAAAATAATATCATTGTATTATGATATTCTACTTATACGACGGATAACAATTATAATTTTGTGTATATTCTATCATTATGGTGGATTGAATTTATTAAAATAACCTTTAAATTCAAATTTTCAACGCATTAAGGTTTTTTCATATTTTGTTGATATTGTGTGTATCCTTCGGATACTCATGGATAAGAGTAAAACAAATTTTTAAAACCGTTTGAGAACCACTGCACTGAATTAATCTTTTAAAAAATAAACCTGTATTATAAAACTAAAAGTTTAGAGGAATGGAAGAATGCAATTATTTTGCGATATATTACTTTAGAATAGACGCATTAAATATGAATTAGGGCGCCCAATACATCAATCGTATAAATTAAATTATGATCGTATAACTATAATTATTGAATGGCTGTGGTTAGATTTGTCGATTATTTTGCAGGAGTATAATACATATAGTGTGTACTGTATCAAATCAACCATATTAACAATAATGATGTTATGAATCGTGTTACGCTTGAATATATATTTAAATACACCATGACACACATAAGTCATACTAACTATACTTATAGTATGTACGTGTTACCTTACTCAAAACGCTAAATAAAATGATTGTGGAGATGTTGATTTTCAATTCTACCGTACGGCGTACACTGAAAACAGATGATTTTAAAATGAATCGAAAGTAATGTATTATACAGTAAAAAAATAATTTTATTTATAAACATATACATTTTTATTTGAAAATATACGAGGAATTTCGAAGCTAAACTGGTTGTTTTTAATACCGGTTTTTATTTATATGCATTACCACAGTGCGTTTCTATATAGGTACATATTTAGTTATTTACACAAAATGTTATTACCGTATAAAGTAAGTCTGTACACAATTTTCTTTTTGTCAAACACTATTATTAATCTATATTTTTTAATAGCTACATATTATGCTTAAAAAGACAGAATTGACATTGCCATTTAAAATATTGTTAAAATTTATTTTAAATATACCTACATAATTTAGTAGTGTCGATGGATCCCTCCCCCTCACATTTTCCAAGCAAATTACGCTAATTATTAACATGTTTATTACCTAATTGTATTATTTCTGTGTACAGGAATTATAAATGTCTTTTATAAATAAATAGATATATATAGATATCCATAATAGAATATATAATTTATTTATTTTTTTAGCTTTTGTTAGAAATTTGATTTAAATATGTACTTTAAATACATATATTCTAAATTTGTAGAGATTTGTAGAGGTATTAATTTTATGGAAAAATGCCCCTCTCCAATAACTCCTTCCCTAGATATAAGACATTATTAGTCAAGTATTTAATAATAAACTATACACTTTTTACAGTACCCACTCATATATGGTTATATATATTTATTT